ATAACAATAACAATGAGACTAAACTACTCCTATTCCTTAAACTAATTAATGGTTGGCCATTGACTCCGAGGAGCTCATCCGCCCTTTGTTCAGCTATTGGTTTTTCTTGCTGCTGGGTGACCATAAACACCCTCCCCTCAGCAGCCACTAAGACATTTGAGAGGGTTGTCAGTTTAGTCACCGACGCTTCCTACCTAACATAACCTACATAAGCTATGCTTAACTACTCTTAAATACAGTACTTAACTACTCTTAAATACAGTATTACTCTTAACTACAATTAGTAGTATGTTGCATATGTTGGATCTGCCACAAGCTTGGCCGAAACAACCGAAGAGTAATACCAGCATGTGCAGTTCTTACAATATGAAAGTCATTTCCTTCCGATACTTGCACTTGAATTCCTAATTTTAACATTACTACATAACCTACATTAAACTTCTGTTTCATTTGAATCTTGACTTTCTTTCCCTAACCAGTGTAGCCTTATCAGTCCAAATAAAGTAATTTGTTATTTGTTCAGGAATGACATCATGATTTTCTTTTGCATTGTCAAGTGCATCCTTAAGCATTTTGATATCATACCGACTCTCAAAGGAAGAGCATCAAATAATTCCTCAACATAACCTACAAAACAGAAAAGAAGTACACATCATTATTGAAAAAAATATATGTGGATCCCATATCAATTATTTGAATTGTTTTCCTTTATGATCAAATAAATATTTAGTTTTAATACAGTATTTACAGTTCACATGAGGATGCTGAGAGTATTCATTAATTTTTTTTTAAGTTAAGTAGTAGTTGGATAACCCCTAAGAAGAGGAACCAAATCAACACACACACACCCACACACACAATTTAAATTGCTGGCTATATCATCTTCCTCAAAATAAAGACTACATTTCTGCATTCCAAAATAAACATCTATTCTAATGGTCTTATTGGTTCTTTGTTATAGTAAGCAACAAAACATACCTAATGTGGACTCTTCATTTACAGCTTTTAATACAGATTGTTGTTTTTTCTACAATGTTAGGAAGCTAACTGCCAATTTTGCTTCTCCTTCTCTGGTTAATATGCCTGGTGTTGTTCCTTTTGGTTGACCATTATCTTCTATAACAATGTCAGTAATAACTCCCCTAACACCTTTCTCTTCATTTGCATTTGCATTTGGTAAGGTCTTCTAGTACAGTACCTAGCAAGTAAAATAAATAATAAAAATCTAAATGCCAGACAAGCACAAACTATAGTTTAAATTAGTCTAGCCTAAGACAGACTTTATCAAGTTAGTAAAAAGCATTTCTGTTAACCCAGTCTTCAAATATCCGTAGTAAGTTAAATGCAAAATTTCCGAAGCACCTAATAATTTGTCTTGAGTGCAAGCAATTATGGGTACAGGAAAATAATAATTGTGGATTCTAAATAACAGGCCATTTTTTTTCTTAGTTTTTGCAATAATTTTTTCAGTCTGACAAAATGAGTTGTTTAGGGACAATGTAACCAAAGTTTTTGATGGAAAATTAAATTGTTCTGGAATTTAGACCTATTATTTATGTGTATTATACACATAAATAATAGATAGGCCTATGATATATTTCTGCAGTAGGCCCTAGTACTAGTAGTATTTTTTCTATTTCCATGCATCCGTAATAATTAGGAAAAATTTCTATATAACTACTGAAATTCAGTATTATTTGAGAAGTCTGCTAAGTACAGCTATCTCGATAATGATATAAAGAATGTTAGGGTTGGCAACAGGACTAGTTATATAGTTAGCTTTGCAACACCCCAAGCCTATCCGGCCCACAGCAGCAGCAGTAGTAGTAGGTAGTAGGCCAAGGTAGGAACACTACCATGCCCATGGCATTATCAATATTAAATTGTACTGCCTCTTCTTAAAATGAACAAGGTCTAGCCTAGCCTAGGTCAAGCCCTAAATAGGCTAGGCTAGTACATTGCAGCATGGAGGAAATATACTTTATATATTTCCTCCACGACTGATGAATTGATAGGTCTAAAAATCGAAGGCCTAAACTATCATTATCATAATTAAGTAGCCTACAAGGCCTAGCTAGTACAGCACTAGCCTAGGCTAGGCCAGTTCTCAACCTACCTCCTTTTCCCTTCCTTTTGATAAGCCCTACGCACGATCTTGGGTGGAAGTGTTGGTTGTTAAATTAAAATACTATAGGCCCTGCATTCGTTTTTAGCTTCCTTAAATATTTTTCCTTGTATTCTAAAAGACGATAAACAATCTAGGTCTCTCGGCGCCTGGTAGTCGACATTGTGAAATACTCGATCACGACGGCTTACAGACGAACGGGCACACGAGACGATCGGGCACATTTTTGGACGATCGGGCCCACCGATGTAGACTTTCGGGCCCATTTTCTAAAACGGCGGGCCCATTTTTCCAAAGACGATCGGGCCCATTTCCTCATGACTTCGGCCGCCGATAATTTCGGTCGGGCGAAATTTGTATGGGGTGCCATATGGGCATTATCCCAATCCCACACCCACTATTGTTTGGAGTCGTCATCTATGTCGTGGTGTGTGTCTATTTACCTGAGCTAATTCAAGCACAATGCTTTTGTTAATATTTTTCTTTTTTTCAGGTAAGAGGTAATGTGGATTCCGGTTATCAAAGCAATATAGTCGTTGAGACGGTCTATTAGGCCTAAAAATATAAATTGTTTGTTTGCCCTTCTTTTTTTAAAATGATAAAAAGGGGCTGGTTGAAAAGAGTTTTTTAAACACATTTTTTTTATATGTAATGAACAAAGCAGAAAAAAAGTTTTCTTGCTTTGCCACCCCTATTTTTTTCTCGGGTAGGGGGAAAGGTGAGGAGGGCAAACAGACAAACAGCCTTATTATACTTAGGACCTATAGTAGACCTACTGTATTATTTTCTGTTTTATCATTCATTTTTATTTATACTGAGTGGTAAAACTGTACTTGAAGGTGTAAACTACGCCAGTGGGGAAAAGAAACAACCACAGTACAAAGACTACAATCGGACACACTAGCAGTAGTGTACAACAAAGCTTTATTACAGCCAACAAAACAACGGTCCGATCAATCCAAGATGGAGTATCAAGAGACCGCCCATAGAGGGCGCCTAATCAAATCACAGTGTGTTGACACGGGCGTGACTTCTCTTGTACTTTTATTTATTCCTTTATTACGCCTTTTTTTTTTCTTTTTTTTTAACTAAAAATTAACGAAAAAAAAAACAGCAAGAAAACACTTGTCAGTTTCATGCTGTGCATACTGACACAGTAACACTCGGAGGCAAACATACTATCTATAAAACTCAGTACTACATTTAGGATCATTATAGATTAGAACGTGTCAATCACAATAGTACAAGCGTGATTATAACCTCCGGACATTACGTAGAGCATAATAAATATGAGTTGTTGACAGAAAAGTGATTATGAACAAACTCAAACAGACAGTATTGAATCGAAGATAAACCTAAACCTATAAGAATTCAAGCATGTACTAGGGTCATTCTTCGCTAATGTGCCATTTTCCAGTCCCTCTGTTTTAATGTAGTATAAATTTTAAAATATTAAAGGAAATTTTATTTTTATTGCGTTAATGCAATCTTGAACATATTTGTTAATGGAATAAGTTGTTAAATATTTTAAACGTAATCGACATGCTGTTTATTTTTCAACAAAAAGCCTCCAAAGTCGCGCACTATGCAGGTCCCGATTAGGTTTCTTAAAAATTCCTAATGTCATAATTTGTAAAATAAATAACTTAAATAAATAACTATACCACAAAAAGGTGAATACAGTAAATGTCTTACAAATGTAAAATTAAAAATGACATCAATAGGACTATAAATACTTAAAATTTGACTCCCTGAATTTTCGTCATCTCCGTCACAATACTTTTAAATGCCATTATACTGTTAGCAAAATGACATAACACGTTATGGATCAAACCATTTTGGTTGAAGGGGACCATACAGTAAGAAACAGTCCATTCTTGTACAGTTAAACCACCTATAGCTAAAGAATTCATGCAATTCTAATACAACCAGAAAAGTACCTTTATTCAGCATCATCTCCGAACGCTTCAGAGTATGGTTTATTTATTATTTTTTTAGAAAAAAAAATAATTATATATACGATCAGAACTGTGTCATTTTCAAAGTGCACATGGCATTCAACCTGTAACACACTGCATATGGCACTATATGATCTAAAAAGTTTAATTCCTCATCTCCGTCACAGTCATCTCCATCACAATTTTACTGTGATGGAGATGACTTCTTGATGTTTTCTTTCCTCAAAAACGAATATAAAATAAAATTGATAATTGATCTGGTTTATGTTGTTAAAAACTTTTTGCTCAATGTTTATTATCCTATATTTAAATAATACAATCTATCTTTTAAATTTACTAGGATTCACATTTATGAGTATATCATCATCTCCGTCACAAAAAGTGTGATGGAGATGATTTCTTGATGTTTTCTTTTCACAAAAATGGCTATAAAATAAAAATGGTAATTGATACGACTTACGTTGTTCGAAACTTGTTTGTTCATTGTGTATTATCCTATATTTAAATAATACAATTTATCTTTCAAATTTACTAAAATTCACATCTATGTGTATGTATATCATCATCTCCGTCACAAAAAAGTGTGATGGAGATGATTCTTGAAATATTTGCTATGTTACAGCACTGAAAATTGAATGCTTAAATAAACGTTTAAAATGCCCTAATTATTGTGCCGAATGTCTATTATAGTTGTTATATGGCATAATGGTGACATGTGTAATAAAAGAATTACAAATGTGAAACTCTTTTTTTCATGATTTCTAAACCTCTAAAATGGCACATTAGCGAAGAATGACCCACTAATACTACTGATCCATAACATAGTCAGAGAATCGTTCAGGACGTCTCCTTTGACGTGTTGAACGGCGTAGAAGGGGCTTTGCAGGATGATCTTGAGACGACACAGATGGTGGTGTAGCTTCCAACGAAGACGCCTTCATGAGGTCAACTGGAGGAACAGCGAGTGCCTCTGGTACGGCAGGTGGAGTGGGTGGTGACGGATCAGCTACAGGCATTGATACTCATCATCTGATGTATCACTGTGAGTCCTTCGTGGTGGAGTTGCTGCATCCCTACCCTTGGGGACACTGAAGCACTCAGACTTTTTGACACGATAACTAGTGCTTCTCAACTGAGAGCCAGAAAACTTACGAACTGTGCACCAGGTTCCATCAACAGATACAACAAGGTAACGATCTCGTGCAGAAGTCTTGTTACGATCTCCCCAAATGTAAACCAAATCCCCGATGTTAATGGAAGTATCAGGTGCCACATCGGCTGTCGGTGCTTTAGAATTTTCGCTGTAGCGGTGGTTGTTGGTTCGAAGGTTGTGCTGGTCAATAATCAACTTTTGATCTGAGACAGGGATTTGGACATGCGAGAACTGATACCGCTGTGTCCACATTTCACGTGACGATAAACCTCGAGTGCGGATACGAGAGTTGAGACGGGCAGTAGCAATAGACAGTACTGTAGGTGAAACAGGTCCACCACTCATCCTCCAGCTCACGCACTCCTTTCTCTCCCACTGGGTTTTTGTTGATATTCTTAACTCTGCCCATCTCAACTACAAGTCTGTGTTTGAGCAACAGCTCATCATTAACAAGTGCAGCAAAGCCAGGGGCGTGGTCAGTACGAATAGCTGTCTCTTATACACACACAGGCGAATCAGGGCATCGCGTAATGTGGTGTGTGTTTCGTCCGTAATCAAGCATGTGGAGGTGAAGGAGGTGACAGTCTCTCTGACAACCAAAATAAGTTGACGTTCTCGTTTTAAAACATCAGCTGCGAAAGTAAGTCCGAATATCGCTGGCGAGTCTCCTGTGGACTGTTGTATTTTAGTGTGTGGTACGTTACGAAGAGATGCGCAGTGGTGACATGTATTAGACGCCAGCTCGATAGACTTGTCCATATCAAGGGCATAGAAATAGCGATGCACAGATAACCTAAGTTGTTGACAAGTCGGATGATCAAGGCGGACATGAAGTGCAGTGAGTAATCCATCGACCACAGCTCTGGGAACAATAATGCATTCGCGCGAGGGTGCCAGAGGCTACGTACGTTTAACGACCAGTAACCCATCCTTGCCAATAGAACAACCGGTGTTTAGGTAGCGCTTTATGTCCTTAGCATGGGTATTTTTCTTAGACGGGCGGGTTCCCTGCCGAAGATGAAGTTTTACTTGAACAAGGTCTGAGCATTCGGCTTGGATAGCTACCCACGCTGATCGACTCGTGAATGGTAATTTAGCCTCTCCATTAATGAACTCTCGCACTGATGTGCGAAGTACACTTAACTCTTCCATGCGGTGGACAAAAGAACAAACTTGACAGTTGGGTTCAGTACAGGGGGGCGCATTTCGACTGGCAAAATCGGATGGGACATTAGCTGATCCAGCAAGGTGCCTAACTGATACATGGTAT